TTAAAGTTATAATAATAATAGAGTGAGTTTAGATATGTTTGTTCATATTTTTGTTGATATTTCAGAACGATTAAAGTATGTGCTTTTAGCCACATTGAAAAAGTTTATGCAGATGTTATGTGTGAAGTATTATGTTATGCATTGAAAGTGAATATAAAAATTGAAAATATAGAAAATTAATAGAATTGCATTACAAGTGTCCAATTGTTATTTATGCACAGTAGTCTATGTACAATATATGCAGTGTTTCGTGAGATTATTGCTGTATATGTTTGTTACATTAACTATATTGTGACATATTAAATATACTGCTCATTGTATTTTTAATAGAAACATAAATTTTATTCATTTGATGTATATCGTATTTTTGCATAAGAAGCAAAGTTTAAAATCGAAAAAAGAGTTGAAATAATGAACAAGTAATATTAATATTTAATATAAAGCATATATACATAATCTAAAATATATATCTGAAACACATTAAATTATCATAAATTTGTTTCAATTAATCAAATTTTGTTTGCTATTTTAAATTTTATTGTTTAATTTACCGCTTTTTATGCAAAAAATTAAATTATGGTTCTTAAGAAGCATAATAAATGTTACTATATTAAAAAACAATTAATTTAACGAGATTATTATAAATAAATGTATAGAGCAATAATTCATATACATTAAAAGAGTAATATACCCTTATAGTAATAATATTATAATATTGTAACATAGTATAATAAATAATATAATATTATTAAGAGTGATGTAACCTTTTTAAGAAGGGTTGTTGTATGATTTCGTATAAATTCGGATAAAACACGTTCTCACTAATCGCAAGGATTACACCATGTTATACGAGAGTTGTGTCGATACTTTGTTCGATTGTACACGAAATATTAAAAAGTTATTATATACCGGGTGTGTCGACGATTGTTAAACGTAGTCTGACTCCGCGTTCTTCGATATCCATTGTCTTCTTTTCTATCGTCGTTGTCTTTTCAATGCGTTCTAGAAAGAACTAGTTTTGGCAATGATCATCGAACTTGCGACTTAGTATGTTTGTACGTATAGTACCAACCGGCGGCATCAAGGATTCGTCGGTCTTTGTAAAGATCGCCGAGGAACAGGCTGTTTATTAAGGTAGACTTTCCAAGGCCACTTTCTCCCAACACCATCAGGGTGAACTCGAATCCTCTTTTAACCGACTTCCTGTGCACTTGCTCTGGCAGGGTTGCGAATCCGATATAGTCCCTGTCTTGGTGAAGAATAGAAGAGAAAATACGATTATTTTACGAAAATTAGCTAGTTGTCAAACGCGAAATTCTCGCACACTTCGACATTCCTCCTTTTGTCCTTCTTCCTTCATTTCGCTTCTTCACAACCTTTCTTTCCTCTCATTTTTAATACACACGGATATACCTGTGTATCTGCCTCGCGAAAGAAGAAAGAAAGAAAGATCAGACCTAAAAGAAAAAAAAAAAAAAAAGAAA